TGGAGCGATAGTACAGCAGGTAGGGCATTTGCCTTATACATGACCAACCCAGGTTTGACACCTGGCATCCCTTATAGTCCCCCAAGCACCACCAGGAGTGATTCCCGAGTACAGAGCCAGGAAGAACCCCTGAGCATCGCTGGGTGTTACCCAAAAAGAAAAAAATCTTGTTCAGAGTGATCATTTCTGTCATTTTCATAGTGGTCCCTTTTCTGCCCTCACTGCCCTCTCCCTCTTCCCCCCCAAGTATGACAAGGTTCCAAGTATGGGCCAGCCCTCCTGGTCCTTATTTCTATTGTCCATGAGTAATAGTCTCATACGATTTTTTTTATATCCCTCAAAAAGTGCGAAGTTCTCTCTTTGACGATGCTATTCTCTCCAAGAGGCTCCGAAATATTGAAGTACAAACGACTTCACAGAAGCATTTTGCCCTCTCCAAAAGAATGTTGCATTCCCACTTACAAGGTATTAATATTCATCTTGTTATAAATTATTTTTTTTCTAAAGTGCCAAGAAATATTGATCCAACGAAGCTTTTTGTACCCTGGCTCACCTCATAGTTTAAGGAAAAACTTGGGCTTGATTCAGTGCTTTTGGAAAACTGGGTCTCATACACAGTTCCTCAGACCATCTCAGTTGCAGTTAGCCAGATGAATCAGTAACCAAAGAACTGCAAATCAAGTCAGAATTTCTCCTCTTGCCTTCAGAGCACTTAAATGTAAATGAAAACATGGTACACTTGAACTTGTCCTTAAACTATGCATTGTCACAACTGAAGAATAATAGCAGGGCCAGAGAAAAGCAGAAAAAAATCCCTGGAGCCTTTTTATTTTTTATTTTCTGGTAAAGGGAAGTAGCTAATTTCAGGGATAATGAGAGGTGAGACACCTGGAGTCCCTTCCCCTCGCCTTGGGCGAAGTCCCCAGCCTCTTTCTCCCACACACAGCCCCGGTAGACTTCAAAGTCGGAGCAGAGGTGATGGACACAAACTGGGCTTTGATGCCGAGGAACATCGGGGCCCTCAGTTTAATGTGACTGCAAAGCATCTGTACTTTTTTCAAACCTTTCATGTTATCTCACATTCCTAATAAGAGCAGAGAGTTTGAGGTGACACACATTATACACATTAAGATATTTGGAACCAGGAACTTTGCGTGTATTTTTCTATTATATATAGCTTCTTTTACTTTGCAAACCGCACTGGATAGTAAATTACTTCTGGCACCCAGCCTTGTCAGCTTGCCAAATTTCAACCGGAGCAAGTTTTTACAGCCAGGCTAATAAGCCCCGAAAATTAGGAGGTGAGTTGAATGGAAATAATGACATGGTCTTCAACTGAAGAAGCAGAGAGTGACAACGTGAGATCCTAATAGATTCTACTTTTTTTTAGAAGCTTTTTTTCTAAAGAAAGCTTTTTTTCTAAAATGAAGACATTTTAGTTCAAAATGCTTGTCAATAAAGTGTTTTTTAATTGGCTAAAAAGTATTTTTGCAAATTTTTCTTCCTATGGCTTAAATTACTGCTATCTTATAGACTAAAAAATAAAAATAATACAACCGTTTGGGAATAAAAACCTACTATTAAACTGATTCTTGAAAAAGCATGTTCTGGAATGACTGGCTCTTCAGATGGGCCAGCCCATTGTTCGTGTCTGAATACATTTCATCAAAGCCATAGCTGATTAGCTACATCAATTTTTTTTCTTTTTCACTTTTCCCCCAATCTGAGTAGAAAACCTGTCCCTACATAAATAATTTTCAAGTCTTTATGGAACAAAGCTTAAAGAAATTGAAAATGGACATCACACTACATTTTTATCACTGAAATGGTATGAAGTAGTAATCTTTTCTCTAAATTTAATTCTACTGCCCAGCCCAGCCCACACTTTACAAGTGGCAAGGAAAGTTCTTTCTGACCTTCTCATTCTGCTCTCCAATTAGCCTTGGACTGATTAGCCCGAGTACCACATGCTCAGACTGAAAAAACATCGAAGCAACGATAAGATTTGAAGTTGTGTTGCATATGGAATTTTGAATGATTCCAAAATGACATCCATACTTAATTAAATCCAGAAATTTCCAGTACTCTTTTAGTTCCCCAACAAGACAATACTATTTTATACTTTTATTAACACCCACTATTCTCCGTAGCACTATAGCACTGTCTCCCGTTGTTCATTGGATTTGCTGGAGCGGGCTCCCATAACGTCTCCATTGTGAGACTTATTGTTACTGTTTTTTGGCATATTGAAAATGCCACGGGGAATTTGCCAGGTTCTGCCATGCGGGCAGGATATTCTCAGTAGCTTGCCGGGCTCTCCGAGAGGGACCAAGGAATCGAACCCGAGTCAGCCGTGTGCAAGGCAAACACCCTACCAGCTGTGTTAGTGCTCCAGCCCTATTCTCTGCACTATTCCAGGTACTATTCTCTGTACCTGGAATTTTTTGTTTGCTTGCATTATGGTTTGGGGGCCACCTGACAATGTTCAAGGCTTATTTCTGGCTCTACACTCAGGAATTAATCCTGGTGGTGCCTCGTATACCATATGGGATGCTGGTGATTGAACCCAGGTCTGCCATGTGCAAGGCAAGCACCCTATCCACTGGGCTATTTCTCCAGACTCCTAGAATTTCTTCTATCCCTCACCCTTTCATTACCTCCACCAATCTGTGTACTCACATCTACATTGACATGAAGCGCTCTCAGTCTTCAAATACCATTTTCTCCCTCTCACTAATTCTTTAGATTTTATCTAAAGAATAAAATCTTTTAAATATTTATGGAACAAAGCTTAAAGAAATTGAAAATGGACATCACACTACATTTTTATCACATCAAATGTCATTCATCAAATTTCCCAAAGACCTAATAAATACTTGAAATATGACTAGGGCAACTGAGAATTTCTTTCATTTCATTTATTTTATTTATTTTATTTAATTTCATTCATTTAGTCATCAATTGCCTTAGGCCTCTAGGAGTTATACATCAACATAATGACTCCTAAATGTACTGTGGCCAGAAAGATACAGCTCAATGGACTGAGCACAGTCTTCGCATGAGGAAGACCCAGGTCCTATCCCAAGCACCACATCACCCCTAAGCACCACAGGAAGCTATCCCTAAGCCAACCATGAGTGTTTCCTGAGTACTGTCAAGTGTGCACCAAACCATAACTGTGCCCTGATCTCCAGAATCATGCCAGTATACCTAAGTGCCTACTCAGCAACCTGCACTTGGAGATTTCATAAGCAGTATGTCCAAAATTAAATTGCTGATATTTTCACTAAAAATCTGTTCTTGTTTTAATCTTCTTCTGGTTAGTGGCAAATCAATTCTTTCAATTTTTCAGGCTAAAAGTCTGGAAGTTAACCCTGACTCTGTCCAATTTGCCAGCAATCCAATCTCAAAACAGATTGAACATAATTTGTCCCCATCACTGCTAATATCACCTTTGTACAAATCACCACTCACATCTAGACTCTTACTAGACTCTTTCACTATAGCCTGACCCTCTTGGTTTTGTTTTTATTAGCCTGACATTTTGGTTTTGTTCTTTTTTTTATGTGTTTATCTGTGGGTGGGGGAAGATTTTTGTGGTTTGGGGATACACAGTAGTGCTCAAGGGATCATGCCATGCCAAAAATGGAATACCGGCATCTTACATATGAAAAATGCACTCATCCCATTGAGTTATCTCTCTGGTACCTGTTGTGGTTTTATTTTTGTTTATTTAATTTTTTTGTTATGTGTGGGAGAAACATATCTAGTGGACTCCCAGCTCTCTGCTTGGGTTTTGCACTCAGAAGAACTCAGGGACCACATAGTTCTTCTTCTACATGCATCAAGCTACCAATTTTAGTGTTTGGGGATTTTTGTTTGCTTTCATTTTTGTTTTGTGGGCATACCTGATTGTGCGCATGGATTACTCCTAGCTTTGTGCTCAAAGATAATTTTTTTTTCTTTTTGGGTCACACCCGGCGATGCACAGGGGTTACTCCTGGTTCTGCACTCAGGAATTACTCCCTGTCAGTGCTTAGGGGACCATATGGGTTGCTGGGAATCGAACCTGGGTCAGCCGCATGCAAGGCAAACACCCTACCCACTGTGCTATTGCTCCAGCCCCACTTCTACTCTTTTTTTTAACTTTTTAATTGAATCACTGTGAGATATACCCTTACAAAGATGTTCATGATTTGATTTCTGTCATACAGTATTCCAACACCCATCCTTCCACTCGTGTACATATCCAGCACCAGTGTCCCCAGGTTCCCTCCCATTACCCCCAGCCCCCACCCCCACCTGCCTCTATGGCAAGCGCTTTTGTTCTCTCTCTCTCTCTCTCTCTCTCTCTCCTCTCTCTCTCTCTCTCTCTCTCTCTCTCCTTTTGAGCATTGTGGTTTGCAATATTGATACTGAATCTCTTCTACTTTTACTTTTTTCTTACCACAGGGTCCTGGGTAAGACCTATGTCATTAGACATATGACTCAAAGACAACTCATTATTTGGGGGTTTTAAGATCATACTTCATGGTGCTTACGAGCTATTCTTGGTTCTGGGTCTGAGGCTCACCTGTGGAGGTCCTTCAGGGACCATGCAGTATCAAGAACTGGAGCCAGTTCTCCCACAAGCAAAGCAATGCCCTCGGCCCTTTGAGTTCTTTCTCCAACGCTCTGGGGAAAAAAAAAAAAAACTAAACAAACAAAATTGAACTTAACTCCCCTAAAATAAGAAGAAAAAAGGACTTATGAACTATGTATTATAATGCCATGTAATTCAATAAAATAAATAAGCATTAAACTTAAAGATAGAGGGAAGGAGGCCAGAGAGAAAATAGCAAGTAAGGTGCTTGTCTTACAGGCAGCTGACCAGGATCCCTGGCACCTCTTATGGTCCCCAAGCCCGCCAGGAGTGATCCCTGAGCACAGAGCCAGGAAAAAGACCAAATAGTGTGGCCAAAATTAATTTGGAAATAAATTTAAAAAGTAAAAAGCTTTGGATCTTTTTCTGGCTCACAAGCATGATGATTGGTTGTTCGCTGTTTGTGTAACATATGCCTCCCTTAAATCTTGTTATATATTTGGCACATTACTCATCTGATTTGAACTTAGAGGGGGGAAATGTAAAAAATTTTTCAAAAGATGGAGCATAAAGCCTAGATGAAAGACCCTGCCCCCTCAAAGCTGAAGCCAAAGTCAAAGATTTGAAGACTAAGAAGCAGTGCTGAGGGTTCTGGAAAGAAAAGACATCAGGTAGGCACTTGCCTTGCATGTGGCCAACCTGGGTTCCATCCCTGGCATCCCATATTACCAGGAGTGATTCCTGAGTGCAGAGCCTGGAGTAATCCCTGAGCACTGCCAGGTGTGGTCCCAAAGACAGAAGAGAGAAAGAAAGAAAGAAAGAAAGAAAGAAAGAAAGAAAGAAAGAAAGAAAGAAAGAAAGAAAGAAAGAAAGAGAGAAAGAGAGAGAAAGAGAGAAAGAGAGAAAGAGAGAAAGAGAGAAAGAGAGAAAGAGAAAGAGAGAAAGAGAGAAAGAAAGAAGTGCTGAAAGGTGTACACACCACAAAAAGAAGCCTCATGTCACCCACCTTCTGAAGACCCAAGACCCAAAAGGCTGCAGCTAAGAAGGCAGCCAGATATTCTCTGAGAGCACCCCCAGAGAAATAAGCTTGACCGCTGTACCATCATCGAGCACCCTCTGAGCACTGAGCCATCAATGGAGAAGATAAAAAGTAACTACACACTTGTGTTCACTGTGGGTGTCAAGGCCAAGGAGCACCAGAGTAAGCAGTTCAGGAAAATCCCTAGTACATGGACATGCCAATGTCAATGCCCTGATAAGACCTGATGGAGAAAAGAAGGCCTGTGTTCAGCTTGTTCTTTCCCATGATGCCTTGAGTGTAGCCATGGCTTGGAGGCCAGCTTCACACTATAAGGGTAAAGGCAGCCCAGATGTAGAAGGGAGCACCAAATGGGGGGTATTGGAAGGATCCCCCCAGGATGGGAGAAGCATGCTGAGACTAGACTCTGGACCGAACATGTTGCCACTCGATGCCTCTTTTGCAGGCCACAGCACCCAAAAGGAAAGAGAGAACAAAAGGGAGTGCCCTTCCACAGAGGCAGGGTGGGATGGGGGGATAACGGGGTGGGAGGGGTACTGGGATCAGTGGTGGTGGAAAATGGGCACTGGTGGAGGGATGGGTACTCGATCATTGTACAACAAAAACCCAAGCACAAAAATTTGTAAGTCTACAACTGTACCTCATGGTGTTTCACTAATTAAAAAAAAAGATAAAAACATCTGACAAAATTAAACATCTGTTTATAATAAAAATGCAAAAAAAAAAAAGAAAAGAAGGGAAGATTATTTTCTTCTCTTCCCATTTCAAGTATTTAACTTTTTGTTTCCAGTTGATTAGGTTGCATTTATTAGCAAAGTATTTCTCTAATAGTGGAAAGTCTTGAATGCTGAATTCATGCAAAACCAGAGTCCACTAGTACCAGATTCAGTTTAAATCTCTATTCCTAAGCAGGAAAGGTACAGAGGAACTTGACAATTTATTTTTATACTTACAAAATATGTGACTATTTAATTTTCTTTTGTTCCCATTTTTTTCTTTTTCTTTTTTATTGAATCATCATGAGATACACAGTTACAAAGTTGTTCATGATTGAGTTTCAATTATGCAATGTTCCAACACCCTCCCTTCATTGGTGTACATTTCCCATCACCAATGTCCCCAAATTCCCTCCTTCTACCCCCCACCCCCAGTTTGCCTGTACAGCAAGCCCAACCCCTCTCGCTCTCTCTCTCTCCTTTGGGGCATTATGGTTTGCAATACAGATACTGAAAGATTTAAAAAAAAAAAAAGAGTTATAAATCCTAACAGAAATCAATGTGTCTCCAAGTCTTGTTACTATGACCACCAGAGAGTGAGGATCCATGAACTCCTGCCATCGAAGCCCTATTTTTATTGTTTTATAATTTTTTTTATTGTGGTTTTAGGTTTTTGGGCCACATCCAGGGGCAATGGTACTTGATGGTGTTAGAGAAGAGAGAGAGTTGCGACTACTTCTTGCTCAGTACACAGGATCACTCCCTCCCCCAAGGCACAAGTCTGGCTCTGGGGATTGAAATAGCACTCCTGCAAATAAAACATGCACTCCCAGTCTATCCTGCCCCAAATCCCATTTTGAATAGTTTTTAATCTAGTTCCCCTAAAGGCTCTGCTTTCAGTGTCAACTAAGAATCCTGGCCAATTGTTCAAGGTGCCTTCAAACAGGATCTCCTTATCATCTCACCATAGTGAGAATGGCTTAATCAAGAGTGGAAACAGAGGGGCTGGAGCAATAGTACAGCCAGTGGGTAGGGGTAGGGTGTTTGCCTTGCCCCAACCCGGTTTGATTCCCAGCATCCCATATGGTTCCCTCAAGCACCGCCAGGAGTAATTCCTGAGTGCAAAGCCTGGAGTAACCCCTCTGCATTACCAGGTGTGACCCAAAAAGAAAAAAAAAGGAGTGGAATCTTAATACTACCAGATATTACCAGGAGTGATTCCTGAGTGCAGAGCCAGGACTAGACAACTGGGGTTGTGCCCTTCCCCACACACCCAAAGGAATCAACCATTGTTGATGGGGATGTGGTCAAAATGGACCCATTGAGGTCAGAGTGATAGTACAGCAGATAGGGTGCTTGCCTTGCCCGTGGTCAACCTGGGTTTGATCCCCTGTGTCCCTTAAGCCTGCCAGGAGTAATTCCCGAGTGCAGAGCCAAGAAAATCCCCTGAGTACTTCCAGTATGCCGTGCCCTCCCCCACAAAAAAAGGGGCTCATCATTAAATCTTTTTTGTTTGTTTTCATTTTGGGGCCATACCCAGCTATGTTCAAGGTTTACTTCTGACTCTGTGTCAGGGATTTCTCCTGGTAACTTAGTGACCTTATTGGGTACCAGGAAACAAATCTTGGGTTGACCGCATGCCATGCAAACGCTCTACCCGCTGTACTATAGATCCAGCCCACCATCATTCAGTCTTAATGAGAGTGTCCTCTGGTTCAGCCTTGATGGAAGACAGTATAGAGTTCCTCAAAAGGAAAAAAAAAAGAGTAGAGGCCAGTATGATAATATGGTTGGTAGGGTCCTTACCTTGCACATAGCCATCCCATTTGATGCCCCTGCACCCCATATGTACATGTACACGAGCCCTGTCATGAGTGATCTCTGAGTGCAGAGCCAGGAGTAAGACCTCAGCACTGCTGGGGGTAACCAAAACACATAAGAACAGGAGTTGGAATGATAGTACAGCTGGCAGGGTATTTGCCCCCTTGTGGTCTACCCAAATTCAATCCCCAGTGTCCCATATGGACCTCAGAGCCCCACCAGCAGTGATACCTAAGCACAGACTCCAATATAGCCCAGTAAGTCACTTCTTTGCCTCTGTCTGCAAAACATAAAAGCATTCATTTGAAATGAGTTGTGCACACCTATGTTCATTACAGAGCTAAGTGCAATAATCAGGATATGGAAGCAACCCAAATGTCCAACTACAGGTGAATGAATATAGAAGCTGTGTTAGTGCAATGGAATACTATGCAGCTGTACAAGAAGATGAAAGCTGTGAGGAAAAATTAATTGCTGCACATGGATGGAATTGTAGGGCAAAATACTAAACAAAGTCATAGGGAGAATAACAAGTATTAGATGATCTCACTCATCTATGGAAGATAGAGGAACTAAATAATGGAATAGTATCAAATAATGATAAACACCCTTGACTTTCAAAACTGTTAGGGAATGGTCAGGAGCATGTCAAGAAACAAACAGACTAAAAGCAACTCAAGGACAGTAGTAGAGGATCAGGGGCTCTTTGGTGGTGGGGAAGGTATAGTAACTTTTCAGATCAATACTGTAAACTTTAACACCATTGTAACCATGCCACCTAATATATAATAAATATAATAAATACTGGCCAAGCAATAGTACAGCAGGCAGGATGCATGCCTTACATGCAGTAGACCCAAGTTCGATCCTTCGCACCCCATATGGTCCTCCAAGCCCCACCAGGAGTGATCCCTAAGTGTAGAGCTAGGAGTAATCTCTGTGCACCACTGGTACAGCCCCCCCCCAAAAAAATACATATATATATTTAAAAATAAAATAATAGCTAAAAAAAGATATCTCCTTTGTAATTCTCAACTTTTAACTAAATACTAGTTTTTGTTCATTTATTTGCTGTCTCAGGCTGGAGCAATAGCACAGCTGTAGGGCATTTGCCTTGCAAACAGCCAATATGGCCGACCTGAGTTCAATTCCTTTGCCCCTCTCAGAGAGCCCGGCAAGCTACCGAGAGTATCTAGCCCACACAGCAAAGCCTGGCAAGCTACCCGTGATGTATTCGATATGTCAAACACAGTAACAATTGTCACAATGGAGATATTACTGGGCCCGCTTCGATGAACCAAGGGAGGACAGTGACAGTGATTTGCTGTCTCATGTAGAGAAGTGAAGGTATTTTGTATCATATCTTCTATCAAATGATTTTTCTGAGATGTTCTTCAAAGCTTTAGGAAATTCACCCCTGAAGCTTTGAACATGCATTAAGGAAGCGCTGGGAGGAACCTTTTCTGAAGTCTCACTTGGTTTCTCTTAAACTCACACTCCATCAGCAAGTTAGAATCCATGTACAGTGTGATTATACCTTGCTCTAAACCAATTTGAAACTCTGGATTTATAGCAATAGATTATTTGCTGTACTGGGGAGGTGGTTCGACTGGCTAGAGCACATACTTTGCAGGCAGGAGACCCAGGTTCTACCCCTGACACTCCTTGTTTTCCTGAACATCACAGGGGACAACCCCTAAGCACTGAGGCAGTAGTACCATGGGCACAGAGTACCCCCGAGCTCCTCAGTTGTGGACTCAAAATATGTATCATTTTTTATATTTACCCTTAGCAGCTTTTTATTTGGCTTTTTTATTTATTTTTTCTCTGTATGGCTTTGGTTTGGGCTTATAAGTCATACCCAGTGCACCAGGGGACTACGCAGCACCAGGGATCAAACCCACACCTCCTGCCTGCAATCCATGCACTCTAATTTTTTTTTTTT